TCCCAAAGCAACGTGGCCGGGTCCCAAAGATGTTCAGGTCCTCCCAAAGCAACATGGCTGGGTCCCAGAGCAATGCGGCCAGGTCCCAAAACTGCTCACGTCCTTCCAAAGCAACGTGGCCGGGTCCCAAAGCAACGTGGCCGGGTCCCAACAATGCTCATGGGCTCCCAAAGCAACGTGGCCGGGTCCCAAAGATGTTCAGGTCCTCCCAAAGCAACATGGCTGGGTCCCAGAGCAATGCGGCCAGGTCCCAAAACTGCTCACGTCCTTCCAAAGCAACGTGGCTGGGTCCCAAAGCAACGTGGCCGGGTCCCAAAGATGTTCACGTCCTTCCAAAGCAATGTGGCTGGGTCCCAAAGCAACACAGCTGGATCCCAAAGATGCTCACATCCTCGTAAAGCAACATGGCCGGGTCCCAAAGCAATGCAGCCATGTCCCAAAGATGCTCACACGCTTCCAGAGCAACGTGGCCACATCCCAAAGCAGCGTGGCTGGGTCCCAAAGCCACGCAGCCAGGTCCCAAAGATGCTCACATGCTCCGAATGCAATGTGGCCGGGTCCCAAAGCTGCTCATGTTCTCCCAAAGCAATGTGGCCGGGTCCCAAAGCAATGCAGCCACGTCCCGAAGATGCTCACACGCTTCCAGAGCAACATGGTCGCACCCCAAAGCAACGTGGCTGGGTGTTAAAGCCACGTGGCCAGGTCCGAAAGATGCTCATGTGCTCCCAAAGCAACATGGCCACATCCCAAAGGTGCTCACATGCTCCCAAAGTGATGTGGCCGGGTCCCAAAGCAACACAGCTGGGTCCCAAAGACGCTCATGTGCTCCTAAAGCAACGTGGTTGGGTCCCAAAGCCACATGGCCGGGTCCCAAAGACGTTCACGTGCTCCCAAAGCAACGTGGCCGCATGCCAAACGTGCTCACATGCTCCCAAAGTGATGTGGACGGGTCCCAAAGCCACACGGCCGGGTCCCAAAGATGCTCACGTGCTCCCAAAGTGACGTGGCCAGGTCTCAAAGCCACACGGCTGGGTCCCAAAGACGCTCATGTGCTCCTAAAGCAACGTGGTTGGGTCCCAAAGCAACGTGGCCGGGTCCCAAAGATGCTTATGTGCTCCCAAAGCCACGTGGCCACACCCCAAAGGTACCCACGTGCTCCCAAAGCCACGTGGCCAGGTCCCAAAGATGTTCACGTGCTCCCAAAGCAACGTGGCTGCATGCCAAAGGTGCTCACATGCTCCCAAAGTGACGTGGCCAGGTCCCAAAGCCACACGGCTGAGTCCCAAAGACGCTCATGTGCTCCTAAAGCAACGTGGTTGGGTCCCAAAGCAACGTGGCCGGGTCCCAAAGATGCTTATGTGCTCCCAAAGCCACGTGGCCACACCCCAAAGGTACCCACGTGCTCCCAAAGCCACGTGGCCAGGTCCCAAAGATGTTCACGTGCTCCCAAAGCAACGTGGCTGCATGCCAAAGGTGCCCACGGGCTCCCAAAGCAAGGCAGCTGCATCCCAAAGGTGTTCGCGTGCTCCCAAAGCCACGCAGCCGGGGACGCTGCCAGCCCTCCGGCCACGCAACGGTCAGCCCCGTGCCCGTCGCTCACCTCGTTCTTGGCGGGGGGCTCGGGGGTGCCGGTTTTCTTGATGGCGGCCGCCTGGATGGCGCTGCCAGCCAGCGTGGCAATGACCTGGCCCTGGGCATTGAGCAGCAGCTGCGGCGTCACCGTCTGTACCTGCAGGTTCTGGGCCGGCAGAGCCGGGGCAGGGCCGGCTGCCGCCATCCCGGGGGGGTTCACCACCCACGGCAGCGTCCCGATCACCTGGGCGAAGGGAGGAGAGCCAGGGCTGGGGGGTTGCACCCTGCAAACACCCTTTGCCGGGGCAGGGGGGGAGCCACATCGGCTGCGTCCGTCTCCTCCTTCCCCAGGAGAAGCAAGCCCGGGGTGGGGGGCAGGCGGTGGCGGCGGTGGGTTTGCAAGGGCAGGTCCCTCCCCAGCGGTACCTGGCCCTGGGCGTTGGTCAGGATCTGGCCCGTGATGCCCTGCACGCTGGAGATGGTGTTTGCGATCACAGGGGCGGCTGCCAAGGAGCCGAGGAGCTGGGTTTGGCCCCCGAGAGAAGCCGCGCTGATCTGCGAAGAACCGAAAGCCGGGGGTCAGAGACGTGGGTGGCACCCCAGGCCACCGCGTCCCCCCGCGCACCGCTGGCCACCCCCTTTCCCGCGGCAGGGGGACTCCTGCCTCGCCGCCGTGATGGGATGCAGTCCCTTGACGTCCTTAAATCCATCCTTTAGCTTTTGCCTAAAGCAAAGCTCCCTGCTCGGTCGCTCGTCGTTCACCAGGGATGGGGAAACCGAGGCTGGGATCTTGCACGATCCCCCGGGAGATGACGGCGGAATCAGAGTGCTTTGTCCCTGGGGAAGCACGACTTCTCATGGCTCTCCGCGGCCACGTAAGGCACCGGATAAAGGGGAGCATGTGCCAAAATCGCCCGGCTCCACGCCGCAGGCTGCCGGGCTCCTTACTATGCCAGGGTTAAAGGCAAATCCGGCAGGTTGGACGGTGATCTGGGTCTGCGTCTCCAAGGGCTTGGCCACGGGCGGCGTGGGTGCAGCGGCGGGCTGTGGCAGGATGGGGGGCTGGCCGGGCGCAGCGGGGAAGACGCCGGGGGGCTGGAGGGGGGGCCGGAGACGGAGAGAGCGTGAGCCGGGGGGAGGCAGGGATGGCGGCGAGCCCCTGAGCTTGGTGTCCCCCCCGTTGCTCCCTGTCCCTTCCCAAAGGGAGGCGAATCCCCGGGTGATTTGGCTCACGTTCGTGTTAGTGCAGCGAAAGGTGCCCCCAGCTTTGTGGCAGGTGGAGCCGAGCCCCTCCGCTCCAGTAGGACTCATCCTGCCCGGAGGCAGCGCTGGGTCAAACTCCGACCAGGTGCTGCTGCCAGCACAGAGGGCGAGGGGCACCCCCGGGGTCCCATCATCGCCCCGGTCTACGAATCGCTCCTGGGACAGGCTCCTTCCCTGGCGGGAGCTCAAGAGGAGGCGATTCCCTCTTACAGGGAAGGGTTTGAACCCTGCCCCGGGCATCGCCAGAGCGGCACTGGCCCCGCTGCTCTTCCCCCTTACAGAACCACAGCCGCTGCATCGGGGTGCCGCACCCAGAGCCCCAAATCTACCCTGCACCTCCCATCCCATCGCTGCCTTCCTCCCTCTCGCCATCCTCATCCTGCCCTCCCCTTCTCCCGCGCTCCCGGCACCTTTCGTACTCGAGGAGTCGCAAACGAATCCCCCAAATTAAACGCCATTTCGGACCCCTCCTGGAGAGGCCGGCGTGGATTCGGCGCAAGGCGGGGGAGGACGAATTAAGGAGGCTGCGAAGCAGAAGAGCACCCGTTACCTTGCAAATTGGCTATAGGCGGTTTGAAAATTCCCCCTGTAGGAGAAGCAGCCGTCAATCCGGGAAGGGCAGCGACCGTTGCTGTAGGAAATGTCCACACAGCCAGCCCCTGCTGACCTGCCACTTGACCTGCAATACTGATGGGGATAAGAAGAGGTTGAGTAACTGTCCCTGCTGGAACCATTACTCCTGTCACAACTGTTGCTAAGTTTTCCTGAGTCAAGACCTGCAAAAGTAAACAAGATTTAAAAAAGAACAAAAATCAACGCCACTGCAGATAGCATCAGCGGAGTATAAGTCTTTGCAAAGGGGCGCGTCGACCCGGCGGCCGGGCGGCCCGGGGTCCCTCCCATCTCAGCAGCTGGGTTCCCAGCTCCGCGGAGCCCCCCTCTCCGTGGGGAGACGGGGAGGGGATCCCCCCCCCGCCTCGCAAACCACCCGACGCGTCTCTGGCAGCACCTCGGTGGCGCAAGGCCCTTGGCGAGGGCGCCAAGCAGAGGGAAACCGCCTTGGTTCGGGGCGTAGGTCCTACCCCCCGTGCCACGAGCGGTCGTCTCTGCCCTCGGGGTTTGCCTACAGCAAGCGGACGCCTCCCCGGGGGTCCCCACCGTGTCCCCCCCCCTCCACCCCAGCCCTCTCCCCTCCCGCTCCGCGGCTGCGGGGTAGTTACCTGCGGGGTGGCTTGCACGGCCAGCGGGGCCAACGTCTGCGGCTGCTGGCTCGTGGCGTGGCTGAAGGTGCCGACGGAGGGGACGGTGCTGGGGGACGCTCCGGCCGCCGGTTTGGCTTTGCCTGGGGAAGAGCAGAGGAGATGGGTTGGAGAGACGCCGTCGGCTGAGCGATAGCAGCTCGTCTGCGCGAAGGATGGGGGGGAGGGTGGAGGGCACCCAAATGACGCCCTCCCAGGGAATGAACACCCTCCCACGGGTGTCCCCAGGGGAGCCGCGGCCCCACGGAGCCGGCATGAAACCCAGCGCAGGGCAGCTCCGGAGCAGCGCTCCGGGTCCCCCGAGGTGGGGTCGCTGCCCGGGAGGCAGGGGAAGGGTGGTCAGGGGCTTCTTACCAGGAGGAGGCAACGGGGGGAGAAGGGAGAGGTTTGGGTGATTTGGGGAGGAACAAGTGTGGGAAATAGCGGGGTTCAGGGGATAAAAAGGAGCGGTTGCGTGTAAGCGGTTTGCCGGGCTGTGTGCGCCTCTCCCTCGGGCCGTCGGATCCGGCAGGAGCTATTTTCCTCTGCCAGCTGCCAGCTCCAAAATTAGCAGCAATTAAAGCGGTGTCAGCCCCCGAACCGCTCCGCAGGGCACAGGGGAGCTGGGAAGGGAAGGGGCCGAGATCGGCCGGCAGAACGGGATCCCCCGTGGGCCGAGCTTCGCGTGGTGTCTGTCAACCCTCCGCCCAAAACCACAGAATATATTCCTATTTCTTAGTTACCACGAACATCCGAGTAAGAGGAAACCTTGCTCCTAATCCATATTTATTACTTGCAGAAGACCTCCTTGTTTTTTTGAGCAACCTCTTGTATTTATTCTGCTCAACTTCTAATAATGGCAACTCTCGAGCATAAAATCCACTTAAATCCTCTTCTATTTTTGTAAAAAGAAAAACACCCTTTTCCTGCCTTTTCCTTTGGCAAAAAAACCCCAAAAATTTTACCAAATAAATACTTTGCTCAGCTAAGAGCCAGACGTTTCTCAGGTTTGGGTCCTCGCCCAGAAATAACTACAGGTCTGCAAGATTTAAAAAAAGCCTTTTTTTTAAAAAAAAAATTTCCTACCAAACCCAAGCACAGGTAACACCCAGCGCTTCCCAAATGGCGAAGACCGTGCTACGGGGCAGCGATGCTGCCGGGTCTGAGGGGTTTTCCCAAACCTGCCGTGCTTTTCCTCCCCTCCGGCCCGGCCCGGAGCATCCCCCGGCGCGGAGGGCCACACACCGCCTCCTCCTTTTCCCAACCGGCCTCAAACAAGCTACAATCCTGCCCGGTTTCTTTCGGCAAAAGCACGGGGATCTGGTTGTGCTCCGAATACGGCGTGGAGGTGACAACCGGAGAAAGAAATAAAGCGAAGGAGTGGTGGGAGAGGGGACGGGAGAGGGGCGCTTGCAGGCGGATTCAGGATGGATCTGCAGGATTGGGGCGCTGGCCAAAAAGCAGTGAGGAATAAAGCAGGATCTCCCCAAAGGTTTATTTCCAGAGCTGCATTCCCCGTCCGGGAAGGGATGCGCCCGCGGCGAGCCCAGCGCCCCGGGGCGAGGAAACCCAAGCCCCCCGCTCTCCGTGGCTGCAGGAAAACCGAGCTCCCCAGCAAAACATCTCATCGACAAACGTCCTCTCTATTTTAAGCACGCGTTTGAGGGCTGTCCTCGATGCAGGATGCTTTTCCCCATCAGCTCCCGGAGAAGTAATGGGGTTTGCTACCTCCTAAGCTGGATGGGGATGCTCCAGAGCTGGGCGTGAGCCTGCCTGCACCGATGGGTGCAGCTCGTCCTCCCGGCTCCGACCCAGCGGTCCAGGGATGCTTGCAGGGATGGACGGAGCAGGGGCAGCCCAGGGAATGAGCCCCGGGGAAGGAAAGCGCCTTACCGGCCACCTCCCCGCTGCAGGAGCTCGGGGTGCTGGGTGGGACGTCCTCTCTGCCTGGGTGGCCGGTCTCTCCCGGGGAGCCCCGCGCTACCTCCCCTGGTGGCATCTCCAAGGCTTTCCGGTCCTCCTCAGCCGGGAGCGGGGCGTCCACGCCCACCTCCAGCACTCGGATGGTTTCATGGCTGGACATGACAATAACCTGCAAACGTGCCCCAAAATGTCCATCAGCTCCAGGCACCCCACCCACAGCGGCGTCCCCCGGGCCACGCGAAGCAGCTCCCCCCGCCCCGCAGGACGCGTCTTAGCGCCACCCTTAAAGCAAACCCAGCAGAGCCCACCCTGTCCCCTCCAGGAGGGACGGACGGGGGGTCCGCAGCCCCCCAGCACCTCGCTGCTTTCATTAATCAGCAGCTTCTGGGCACCGATGCCCCAGCTCCACGTGCTTTGGCGGATGCCGTCTCCTGCAGGTAAAACGCGGCTGTCGGTGGCCGCAGCACCCCTGGCACAACCAGCAGCACGCTATCTGCAGCACTGGAGCTGATCTACAACTCCGTGGCTCTGACCCAGGGTGGGGCGTCCCCTCTGAATCACGATATACCATTTCCCCCGTGTGACATGACTTGGGGACACACGGGGAGTGACAAGCAGAGATACCGGCTCCTCCTCCAGCTCTCCCACAGCTGCAGGCAGCCAAACCCCGGAGCAAAGATCTCTTGCCAACAGCACCCGCGACTTCGCCGGGCTGCCGGGACGAGGACCTCGCGCCTCCTCTTCATCGTTACAAAAACGCGAGAGGAGGCAGCCAAGCTCCAAAAGATGGAGCTGAACATCTGCGTGGCCAGGCGTGGGGGCAAACAGGCTGGCTGGGAGCGTGGGGCAGGCGCGAGGTGGTTTTTCACCCACGCGGCGGGGCTCAGGCTGGTGCTGAACCCCGACTCCCCACCCCTTGGCCCTCCCGGTTGTGGGGTGCAGCGGGGATGGAACCAGTGATGCCCATACCTGCTCATTGACCGTCAGCGAAGCCTCCTGGGGCTGCACGGCTTCGGTGTCCATGGCGTCCCGGCGAAGGTAGGAGAGGGCTCAGACCTTCCACATGCTGCAAGCGAGGGACACGGGAGGGTCCGTCACCGACCCAGCGAGTGGCTCGGGGGTCACACGCTGGCTCGACCCGGGGTGCAGAGCAAACATGGTCTCTCCCACTGCCTCCCCGCTCCTCTCTGGCTCTACCGCCCACCTCTGCCCCTCGGTGCTGGCGCCAGAGGCGATCCGGAGCTTGCTAACGCCCTCCTGCCCCGCGCCGTGGGGACGCGTGCTCCTCCCGGGGGAGGCTTCGGTGTCTCGGGTACGTCCCACCACCTCCCATCCTCTTGGGGAAGAGGTCACGGATGTGGGGTGGCGTAATTTATCGGGTGAGCATCAAATACACAAGCAGCAGAGGGAGGGAAGGGTTATTCCAAGGGCCAAGCCTTTTGCGCTCTCCTCTCCCTTTGGGAGATGAGGATGCAATTCCTACAGCCTGCTTTGAAAACCCTACAAAACCAGGCAAAGCCCACGTGCAAGTGCCCGCGCTCCCTATCCGAAACCCAGAGCAGGTCCCCAAAGTCTCCGCGTGACACTCTGCAGCTTTCCCGAGCCCCTGCCGCTGGCCACAAGAAGCAGGAGAGTCAATTTGCTCTTTCCTGAGGGGACCTAAATTGACGGGGATACTTCATTAAGCTGGTGAAATGAGCCGTTCGCGGAGGGAAGGGGCTCGGCCCACCTGTTGGAAGGCAACTCTTCCTCCTCCAACGCCCTTCATTAACTCATTTGGTCACGTATTGTCCCCTCGCCACCTTGCAGAAGCATAATTGCCTTTATAAAAGCCTTATGAATTTTTTATTAGGAACGTCTCGGGGATGCATTTAACCAGCCAGCCTGGATGACATTCAAAATTACTCGATGCGTGCGCGAAGGTGTCCTTGTTTGTGTAACTGCTCGGGAGCCTGGGGGCACGCTGACGCGGGGAGGTGCTGCCAGGCCCCAGCTCTCCCTGCCCGAGCTGTCCCAAAACGCTGGGCAGCGTCCGCTCACCTCCAGCCTGGGCGCCGACCACCGCCGCGCTGGGCCCAATCCTGTCTCTGCCCCACGAGGGATGCCGGCGTCACGCGGACCAGCCAGCTCAGCCCTCGGCAAGCTCTGCAAATCCCAGCGTGTTAAACGGAGCTCGGACAGAGCCTCCCCGCGCTCACAACTCATCCAAAAGGGAATTTCAGCCCCAAACTTGTGTTAGTGCATTTCAGCCATCGGTTTTTACTTCTGCCGGGGAACCTGGTGCAGCGCGGGCAGCCCCTGCCGCTCCGCTGGAATGCATCGGCCCATCAAGTCAGCCCAGGAGGCACCTCCAGGACCCAGGAAACAGCCCCCAGCGCCATTTTACGAGCCCTTTATCGTTTCTCTGCATCTCAGAAGCCACCAGGCTCCTGCTGCGGCCACCAAGAGTACCCTGAGCTGGAGCCGGCATTTGTACGCGATTAGTAAACATAGTTATTCGGATCCTGTTGATCCAAAGGGGCCTAAATTGAATTAAGAGCCAAATTCTCATTTGAAACTCAACAGGGGCCGAGCATCTAATTCCCTTAGGCTGGCTTTTGTACACACCACTTGTTATTTATTATCCGCAGCGAAGCGACGCTTGGGGTCCCAGCAGAGATGGGGCCGTTTCCTTCGCCAGCCGCTCGCCACAGCTCTCCCCCTTCCTTGGCCCTGCCGGGCTCAAGCCAAAAATTCAGGCAGGACCCAGAACCAGCCCCGCTGCCAGATTCAGCGAGGACTTTTAGAGCAGCCGGCGACTGCTCTCCACTAGCCGCCGTGAATTTTTAAACCTGGCCTTAGCTGCAGAGCAGACAAACACCTTGGGATGCTGGTGCACAGTTTAATTAACAATTTATTCTAGTGCAACAGAGAACAGAGCAAGGGACGAGCGAGTGGCTTATGCAGGCAGCTGGCATTATTAAAAGTTAATGAGGTCTCCAGCAGCCAGAGCCCGGCAAACGGCGAGGAAGCCGGAGCAAGGGATATCTGGGCTGCCTGCAAGGGGCAGGCAAACCAGCCAAAGAAAGGTGCAAAGTGTCCTGCTGCAAGAAGAGCGAGCCCGGGAAGGAAAAATGCTCCAGAGGAGCTTTCTGAACTTCTCTGGAGAGCAGCTGGCAATGGGGAGGCTTGCTGGGGGCACGGGGGGGCTCTGACCCTATGTCCTGCTGGATTCACCCCATGGGGTGCGAGCCACTTGCTCCAGGTAGCTGCTGTAGAACACCTGATCTTCCCTCTGCATCACTGGACCACGCTGGCGTGGATGGATCCCTGCCACAGGGACATCAAAGCCGTCCCTCTCCGACAAAGACGCGCGTCCTGGGGCTGCCGGGCGAGCATCCCCGTGCCCCAGTCACCCTCTGTGAGCCAGGAGGAAAAAGAAAACCCGGCCTTTTCTCCTCACGGGAGAGGAGCCGAACCGGCCAGCCCCAACCTCCGCATCAAAACCTTTCCGCTAAGCATAAAACGATGTAAATTTGATTTCTACCCCATTTCCCGCCCGTTCTTTTGGCCCTGCACCAACCCCCCCGGCGTGGTACCACGATCAGGCTCCGGGTCCGGGTGCAGGACCACAGACAGCCGATGCAGAGCCCTGTGTGACAGCCAGGGAGGGATCCCTGGGGATCCCCCTTCATTAGAGGGGGCAGTTGAGCCCAAACTGGGATCCCAAACTGGCAGGCGAGGGCACAGCGACTGCGGTCGGAAGGGAAGGGGCAGCCAAGGGGCTGCTCGGTCTGCGGGGAGACCCTTCCTGCACAGCCGGAGCACATCCGAAACCCCAAACCCCCCGTGGAGCCCGCGGAGAGCAGAGCCCGGAGCAGACGGGGAGCAGCAGGCTGCTGCATGGGGAGCCCGGAGCCGAAATCCCATGAGACGGCCGAGGCTGCGGCGATCTCCAGGGCCACGTGGGGAGTGGCGGCAGCCCCGGGTACTCACTCACTGGTTGCTCTGGGGTGAAAGGACACTCCCGGCAGGAGACGGGGCTGGCTGCTGCGTCCTGCTCCTCGGGGCGGGCTGCTGGGCTGCGGCACTCGGGGTTTAGGCTGTAGGGCAAGAAAAAACAGAGCCGTCTCAGTGCCGAGCTCTGCCTGCTCCCGTGCTCCCCAAAAGCGTTGAGGAGCAACAGGATCGCACGTGCCAGCTCTTGGCGAGAGGGGACAACTCAAAAGCATCCCCGCCCTCGCAATTTTCTTCTCCCTTATTGCTCCTCATCGCTGCCCAAGGGCAGAGGAGCTTTGGGAACTCGAGCTGAACCGGCGAGCCGCCCCGAAAGCCTGTGGTACCGAAAAGTTCATGCATGCGTTGGCTTTTCCCAGAACCTCGGCGTTTGCCGCCGTAAGGAGCACCGAACACCGCTGCCAACGCCAGCCCTCGCTGCTCCCCATCTCCACCCATCCCAGCCCCAGTTAAGGAGCCTCTCTCAGAACCGCAGTTTTATTCTAGCACGACCGGAGCGACAAAAGGCTGAAGAGGACATAATATCCCTGCCCCGACCGCCGTATTTATCCCCGTGCGAGCCGCGGATCTGTTCAGGCCTGCCCCGTGGGGGAAAACTCAACTAACGCCGAGAGAAAAAGAGGGTTTTTTTTCCTCGGTGCTGTGCAAAGAGACCAATTAGCGCGCTAGACGATTAAACAGACATTTCATAATGTCAGGCTCGATGCGGTTTGGCGGCGTGCTTCGGATTTCGGAGTGGGCTGCTTCGCCGTTAGCAGACGTTCGGCAGGTCGGCAGCACCATTTCATTTCGTTTCTTCACACTTTTTTTTTTTTTTTTGCAATTAATGGGACAAATAATTTGTCCAGATGGTGGTGTTAAGTGCACGCAGCAAGAAGACAGCCATTTTGCAACAGATGGCGGCAAGGAAATGAAATGCACAAAATAATAATAATAATATTTAAAAAAAAAAAGGCGGGGGGGAAGGGAAGGATAATTTAAGATGCTCCGAGTCTCACTGTGAGCATAATTGCCGTGTTAATTACAAGTGTTGATGAGTCAGAGATGTAGCCACTTGGATCCCAAGTGGGTGGAAATCTAAGTTTGAACAAACTTGCCACAGGTGAGAAACCCGAAGAGGTTAATTAAACCCGCTCCGCGCAGAAGACATTTTGGACACAGCTACAGCTCACTAATTACTCAGTGTCGTTATCCTGGATTAATTCCTTTGGATGGACGCTCCGATCCCAGGCTGAGGAGTCTGAACACGCCATACACCGGCTTCAGGGAGAGAAGCCCTAAAAGCCAGAGCTAAGACACCGGTTCCTGCCCCGAGGCGGGTTTGCACGCTCGCACCCCAACGCGGCAAGCGTGCGAATGCACGTGGAGGAACAGACACCCCGATACCTCCCGGCAAAGCCACCACCGACGCAAAGGGGGACAAGGGACAGGTCCAGGTCGTGGTGCCGCTCCCTGGAAATGCAGCGTTACGCCAACAACGCAGCCCCACGCATCCCTCGCCGCCGTCTCGCCAGCTCACGTGATTTTTTTCACCATGTTCAGAGCGGAAAGATCCAGGTTGGAAACGACGCCATCAGTGGGAATTATTTTCAAAGCGTATTTCCAGGTGTCACCGTGGTGGAGACCTGGACCGAAGTGCACCTGAGCAGTTGGCAAGGGTTCTTTCCCTCCTCACAAATCCGCTTCGCTCTTAAAATGCCTTTTTACCCTTCTAAACTTTATCGCTTTTAAGGGTTTACTGCGTTTACTGATGGGGAAACTGAGGCAGGGGATGAGATGCGATGTGTCGCCGCCGGCAGACCTCCAAACCATCCCTCTCCGACAAAGACGCGCGTCCCGGGGCTGCCGGGCGAGCATCCCCGTGCCCCAGTCACCCTCTGTGAGCCAGGAGGAAAAAGAAAACCCGGCCTTTTCTCCTCACGGGAGAGGAGCCGAACCGGCCAGCCCCAACCTCCGCATCAAAACCTTTCCGCTAAGCATAAAACGATGTAAATTTGATTTCTACCCCATTTCCCGCCCGTTCTTTT